AGACATTTACTCAGTCGTCGGGTAATACGCTGGGTCGATAAAATGGTCAGATTACCTGGAAAAAGGCTGCGGCAAAAAGCGAAGAATACAAAAAACTTGAGGAATGTTAATGCACTCATGATGAACCCACTGCGAGGACAAGTCCGAAAATGGATAGATGCTACGAAAATATACAACACATAATCAATGATTATCACCAGCCTTTTCTGATCCACAGCCGGATGAAAGAATCTCCAGGATTTGGTCACAAACTTCTGTTTTCTGCGATTCTTGCCCAACAGAATTTAAAAAACTTCTTCAGCTCAATCTGACATCGTCTGATGGATTTTCTACCGATGGTTTAATCTCTCTCTGGTCCAGCGATGGTCAAGTTTCTTGCAACACACTGCTCACTGTAATTTCGTTTTTTCACTAAGGTAATACTATCGCACACTCTTGTTCGTGTTGTTACTCATTCATTCGTTGTCCTATATTTCCTTATCATTCCCAAAATACATTTTTAAATGTTGTCTTGCGTAGTTTGCAATTCATGAATAGCTTTAAGGGTTAAGGTCAACGTTTCGCAACAAAAGTTAACACTGATCGAATACTTTACATTTCAATCACAAGGGCAGTTTATCGGATAGAAACACTTCTATTGTTCCAAAAGAGTCCCACGCCATTTTTATTTATCTGTTGATTCTCCGCTGCAGGGATAAGCTGTATAAGAAAGACATAATCTATCGTTTCTTCGTTGCATGGCCAAGCATTTGTTAAACTCGGCCAGATTCCTGATCACGTGTTTCATCAAAGTAGAGCTACCGTGACGCAGGAATCGTTCAATTTTAGGATTCTACCTTAAAATTCCTCTGGTGACCTTCAGAAGATCAAAATGTTGCCATAAAATCGCAAGTGGCAAACCATACTGCGCATTTACGTCCAGCCTTTGTTTGCCCATTGCAGTGTCTTGAAAAGCTCTTCTAAGGCTGCTTTGAACGACATCAATGATAGCATCATCGTTGCAATTTAGAACTTGCCCGTGCATTGGTGAAGCTTCACACTTTGAAGCAAGTTGCATTCTTGCAAATCACTGCGATGAGGCCTCTCTACAGCTTTTCTCGATTCTGTGACTCCTCAATGAACCCAGCACAGTAAGGATGCAGGACTGAGTCGAAAGCTTTCTCGAAATACGATTATGCCATGTATAATCATAGTAACATTAGTGCATGACGCTATAAGTTATGGATTATTCACACTGTAGTAATAATATCTAAATCCCTCAAGTCATTTTAAAGATGATATCGCACATATAATATATTTTACTCAGATCCGCCTTCACGGAACTGCAGATTATGTTCAATCCGTCTTCACGGAGAAAAAATTATGAACCAGGATGTTACAATACACAGCGGTACAGTCATGTATAAACTTTACTATGAAGGCCTTAGATTCGATGGTGGAAGTAGCTTCATAACTTTCTTCCAATACGAACTTAATTCGATGTTGATCTAACTTACGCAGTGGTTCAATTGAATTAAAAATCCTCCTCTATCATTCGACTTAGAAAGTTTCTCTCTCAATGTACATTTTAACTCATAATGTGCAATGTCATCTTTTCACTCCATGTTCCAAAACCCCTGAATTTTTTCGCATTCCTTCTTCAACACCTGGAGATCTATCATCTGTCTTCGACCTTTCCTTTTCTGCCTTTTTATTTTGACGTAGATTAACTTTGCACAATCTTATCAGATTACTGAAGCATTCCTTCTTCATCTCTTCTGTAATATCACAGGCTTATAAATGTAACTCAGACCGCATTCACAAAGCAGGATTTAAATCTGTTTTCTTTTTCCACCTCATTGTCATTCTTATTCCTTTTGTTCCTATTTCTGTTACGTATTCCTTTTCTTTTATCCACCTTTTCATTTCATTTCTCCCAAACTCTTCGGGAGGCTTCTTCTCTCACTTCCTTCGCGATTTCTGCCTCTTTCTCTTGAATATTCCTTTCTAATTTTCTTAAATTTTTTATTCTTTATTTCTCATGCAATTTTCCCCATTCTCCTCCATCTCTGTTTCGTTCTCCTCCTTGTCTAATTCCAGTTCTTGTTCTCCTTCTTCGTCTTCATTTTCATCTCCCTTCTTCCTAATCTTTTCACTTTCTTACTCCTATTTCTGTTGTCTTCTTACCTTTTTTGTTCATTTTCGTCATTGTTTATCTTCCTCCTTCTTATACTTCTTGTCCATGTCTTCCTATCGTCCGTCGTCGTTTTACTCAAACTGGGTCTGAATCAGTTTTATGTTTAGATCCATCGTTTCCGTGATAAATGCAAATGATCTGATGAAAGAACTGATTGCAATGTGCTTAAGCTCCCTCTGTTGAAGAACGAATACTAACTCGGTGACCTGCGAATGAATGAGCAATGATGTGCCCTGGCGTAGTTATTTCAATGACTGTTAAATTTAAGACCACAATTCCGTTCCTTCATGAGTGATGATATTTACACTTATGAATAAATTTCATGCGGCAAAGTCAGAGAGTTTTACAGGAGGCATAATCATGTTATTCTATATCACGTCTAGAATTACAAGTACTGCAAAGTCCAATAGATGTCAAAGAATAAATGGTAGGTAGGTAGATCTTTGAGGATGAAGTCGAATGGAAATGAGCTCGCCTAACAGAGGAGTTATTCGATTTTTATTTTTTTCACGTAAAGAATACCACTTCGGCAGAAGGAAAAATAAAACAACGCTGTGCTTTCCACACAACTGTAAATACTGCCATAAAAAAATCTTACTTGCTGACATCCAAAACGAGATTACGCCAAAAATAGGGCGCCAAAAAGTTACTAGAAACTCTTCTGAGGCTAATTATGAAAATGGCATCCCAACAGTATTAAACTTTCTTTTTTTTCTACTCACCATCGCGGCATTACTAAGTTCATTAGCAGATTTGTCCGCGTACTTACGAGGGTAGCAGCATCCAAGATAAGCTCAGCCCATACAACACTACCTGCATTTCTAAATTATATTCCAAGCTAAATTAATAAAGGGGACAACATATTTGCATAAGTTTTATAACTAATCTGCACTTGAAAACTGATGTTTACCATGCTTTCCGGAAGAACAGAAGTAAAGAGAAAAGAGTAAACAACGCATTTACCTAACAGGATCTGATTAGAGCCTGAGAAAACAGGCTGGTTCATTTCTCCTTCCTGTCCAGGAGTTGGAGCGGCGGAGGGCGAAGGCCCCGTGGTCATCATGGCGACATTTTCAGGCAGCTTTTCGCCCTTGCATGCGCATCGGTACTTAGCCAAATACAACTTGAGCGGTTCGACGTAGTTTTCAAAGCCGAGCGTTTGCATCGCCCATAGCAAGTCTTCACCATTGATAGTCTTGCGCTTCTCAGACAGACAGCGCTCAGAAGCTTCGCCAGTGAGAAACGATAGGAACTCAGAAACACATTCCTGACAGCACTCCTTTCCGTCCTTGGCGATCTTGCCATTTTCTGGGATCGAACGTTTCATGATCCTCGAAACGTTTGCTGAAACGAGTACAGGTCAACAAAAATGAACAAAGCCAAATGTATACAAAAGGGGGACAGAAGTACCTATCGGCAGAAACCGATCCTGTTCCCGCAACACGTCCCTTTCCGAGCCGTTCATGGGCATGTCCATGTTCATAACTGGCAACGACGATGACGAATCGTCGCCACTCTTGTGACCATTGTCGAATGACATACTGCCGACTTTCCCATGGCCGTCGTCCTCAGTTTCTGACGATGATTCAATTTCTTGGACCAGATAACTCATCACAAAGTCTAAAATAGAAATAATAAACATGATAAATCGAGGAGATGGTGATTCAAAACAAATTATAATGCGACTTGGGTGGATATTAATTTCCCACATATGACTTTTACGTGTGGTGGACGATTCAATCAGTCAATTCATCAATCACTCCATCAATCGCACTGCTATCAGCAAAGACAGATTTCACGGAGAACATGGCAAGTACAAAGCCTTGTACATGTTACACATGAATCACTTTGCTGCACAATTACGTTCTAAAGCATAACCATTCTAAGGTAACCCCGGCAGAAATTCCTACAATAAATTATATTTCTAATAATGATTTCCTTAGGAACGCATTTGATCTAGCAATTCTTCCGACCCTTCGGAGCAGAACATTCCAGGCCATGTACGTAATACACAACAAACACCCGATGGTCGATGGTCGACTGCATGACATGCTGTATGGGACAGAAGATATTCGCAAATTTGCAGGCTAGGGGATAAACTTTGAAGATACATTTAAAGGATTATTTCCATCAGGTCTATGTTATCAGCTTGCTATCATGCTTGCCTTAGCGTCAGCTGGATTCCCAAAAACCTTATGTCATCAAACAGTACACCAGGACCTGTACTGGCCACGATGGACCGGACACGTTACGAGAATGTTACCAAAAGAAATCGAAAGTACTTCTTTGTCGACTGACCGGTCGAAGACCACGGAGTAGCTCAAGAATGACCTAGAGCAAGTGTTTCGGCGGACTTTTCTCCGGACATCGGTTATCTTCTATCGAAGCTCAGAGGATGACGCAGGATTTGGAATGCTGGGCGCATTGCCTAATGATGTGGCCTCTGGTATGCGACAGGAATTTGCTGGCCGTAATTAATGATTGAAATTGTGTGCAACGTCTCTGTACTAATCGATAAAAAGGATATCAACTTTAGCATTCTAAGGTTGTTCGAAGTTTTTATTAGAATAGGAACCAACAATCCTGAAGATAAGCTGATTGGAATCACAGAGCATTTCTTCCTTTGTAGCAGTTGCAATTGATTTGCAATGAACTGCTCGATCTTAGTTTCGTTCAGACTGTTTCTTCTGCAGACCAACAATGAACTTCCATATAAATGGATAATGCGAGTCAATAACATGCGAAAACTCTCGATGCCATTCCTCTACGGCGTTATTCGTCTTTTCGCAGGCCCTCATGCATGGTGTCAAAGCAATTCCAAAGTGGTAGAGCAAAGCATGGTTGAGTTCGTGTTTTACATCAGTCTGGACGGTTAATCCACGGATCTTCGAGGTAGTCTAGAAAAACTTGCGCTTCGATCGGGTAATCGTTCATTTCTGAAACATTCTCAAACGCTCGTTACAAGTATTGCACAG